GATCCCCAGCATAGCCCCCCCCCCGACTTTCCCTTCCTTTCTTTGACTGCTCAGATGCCTTCATCATCTCCATTTGAATAAAAGCAAGTCTTTGCAATGCTGATTTCTAAAAGCAGAGAGGCAGTGCTCTCTCTCTCTCTCTCTGTGTGTGTGTGGAAACTAGCTTTCAGATTATGCGGATTAAAAATGTATATTGGAAGAGCTATGGAACTTCTTATATAGAAAAGGACCAACTTATTCAGTGGCAGCAAGCTACAAAGAAAATTAGATTAAACCTGAGACTGATTCAGAATTTATTTATTTTTTTAGGTGTACAACGTATTTGTAGGAAGGCACTGTCTAATACAGGTGCTGCAGTTTAATGCTGAAAATGCCTTGTTGAGATACATGATATTGACAATTTCTTCCTCATCTGAAGTTACTGTCTGCATGCTTAGGGTTGCTCAGCACAAACATGCCTAGGATTCCACTGTAAATTAAGACACACACCGTATTTTTCTCTCAAAGACTCCATAGAATTGAATTTTACCCCTCACAGAGCTACAATTCCCAGCACTCTTAGCAAACCACAGTCCTTAGGATGCTTTGGGAGAAGCCATGTGCTTTAAAGCCGTAGCACACGTGCAAATGAACTTTAGCTGAATCTGAGCCTGTATATACAGTATGATCTTTCCCTTTATTTTGTATTTTCTTGGCGGGAGGACAATTGCTTATGTAGCCAAAGAGGCACCATCCATTCTCAAGAGGAAGGTGCCAGCATTCTTACGAGGAACCCTGACGTTTACAGAGTGTTTAAAAAGCCTCGAGTGCATTGAAAAGAAGCTGAGGCCGCACATGGCGTTTTCCCACTCCTTGCAAGCAATGGCCGCTGTGCACGTTAACCTCTTCTGGGACTCAAGCAGCGACTGGGGTGGGGCAGAGGAGAAATTTCAATGGAATAAAAGGCTCGCAGGATTCCAAACTCCTCAGCGCAGACAAACGGTCTTTCCTCGATGGAACGAAGGAGTCTCTCGTTGAATGTTTTGAAACTGTAGATCTGCCTGTGGCATGAGGACAGTTCGCAATTCCAAACCCTTGGCAGTGTGGTGTAGTGGTTAAGAGAGGCAGACTTGTAATCTGGTGAACGGGTTCGTGTTTCCGCTCCTCCACATGCAGCTGCTGGGTGACTTTGGGCTAGTCACACTTCTTTGAAGTCTCTCAGCCCCACTCACCTCACAGAGTGTTTGTTGTGGGGGAGGAAGGGAAAGGAGAATGTTAGCCGCTTTGAGACTCCTTCGGGTAGTGATAAAGCGGGGTATCAAATCCAAACTCTTCTTCTTCTTCTTCTTGGCAGGCCTGCTTTATGGGTGATCTTGCTTAACTCAGAACCAAGTGAGTGATTCCAATGAATGTTCATCCACGGATACACAGAGGCCATGTCTGCACTATCCTTTTAGAGCAGACAAGGCAAAGAATCCACAAAGTTAGTTTAAGGATGTAGGGAGTTGTTAGGAGGCCCCCTCACAGAGCCACAATTTCCAGAGTGGTTAAACAATCAGCCCCTCTCCCCAGGGAACTCTGGAAACTGTAGTTTTCTAAAGAGAATAGAGGTTTTCCAACAACACTCAGCATATTTAACCAACTACAATTTCCAGGATTCTTTGGGTTAAGCCATCCATATTTAAACTGATACGATACTGCTTTGTATGTACAGTGCAGATGGGGCCATATTTTAAAGAGGCCTTGCTGCATGAGCTTGCTTTGGAAAAGCTTTTGGGCAAGACGCTTCTCTCAGTGAGTCTACTTCCATTTCTGTAGCTCAGTCAGCAGTGGCGTAGCGTGGGGGGTGCAGGGGGGGCCGGCCGCACCGGACACAACATCTGGGGTTAGGGCAAATCCACGGGTTAGGGGGCGCAAATCCACGGGTTAGGGGGTGCAAATCCACGGGTTAGGGGGCGCAAATTACTTGCCTTGCCCCGGGTGCTGACAACCCACGCTACGCCACTGTCAGTCAGTAGAGCACAGGATTCTTAATTTCAGGGTTGTGGGTTCAAGCCCCATGTCGGACTAAAGATTCCTACATTGCAGGGGGTCAGACTGGATAACCCTTGTGGTTCCTTCCAACTCCACGATTCTATGATTCTACCACTAATTGCTCTTCCTCTTTCCCATCACTGCTACTACCTATTTGCTTGCCAGGCAGAAAGCCAGCAAGCAGGCTACAATGGTGAAGAGTGAGAGCAGGTCCAGGGGGCCCTTGTCAGTGGCCCCTCTGCCTGCTGGGATGTGGGCCCTTAGTAGTTGCAAGCCCTGAATATTCGCTCCATGCATTATGCCACTCATGCAAAAAGAACCGTTCCGAAGCATGCCTTTTTAATGTATAAAAGTACCACTTAAAAATGAGGTTTCTCATATTAAAATGATATCTCCTCCTGGCACTTTACATGTTTTGACAGCCTCTTGGGAAATAAGCAACCATTAACTGGAAGCCATGCTTTGTCTTTCAGTGATGCATGGCAGACGCCACATAAAGTTCGGAGCTTCACATCATCATCCTGAAACGGAGCTCCAGTGTGCTGGAAAGGATAACAACATCCAGCGCTGCCACTTAATTATCCTTGAAAGTGCATTCAGAAGGCCCTTTTCTCCATCTCCAGGTTTGAGCCAGATAATTCTATTTACCTGTGTTGACAGATTTTCCTGTCTGAAACAAATAATTCTGCAAACTCTTTGCTGGATTCATGGACATTGTTTTAGCTTACAAGACATATCTTGCATGGAAAACAAGCCAAGCTACTGGGTTCTGAAGCAGAAATGCCTTCACAACAATAACAACAAATAAATAACAACCCATTGTTTACATCTACTTTTTGATGCAGTTTTAGCTTGTCGTTTACCATTTCCACAGCACTGTTACCATTTATAACAGTAATCATTTACATAGCACCATCAATTTCACCAGTATAAGAGGACAATTCTCTGCCCTTCAGGACACGAGCTAACACAAAGAAGAGAACAGGGAGATGGACATCGATGTACTGTCAATGTACATGCTGCTTTATGGGGCAACAAAACAATACTCTTTCCCCTACAATCCAAATGTTGACAGAGCAGGAGGTAACAGATGAAAGGGTGGGAAGAAAAGACCAGAGTAATAAAGGATGGCTATATGCAATGGCAGTCACACATGCTCAAGCTTAGATTTGGATTGGAAAGAGCTGAGCAATAATGCCCCTGTTCAAAACTCAGGGTGCCTTCAGGCGATCTGACTCTATCGGCTCCCACTGGTTCTCCCCATTATCTCCAGCAAATACTGCAACTCTGTTTGGCCCTACTGCCCCTGGTGGTGAGTTGCTGGGGATGCTGCCCATTGCAGGGGCTGCAGAACTGAAGCCCCCCAAGTTGGAAGTGAAACATTCAACTTGTGGCCAGTGAGCACATTCAGTCATGTACTGTATTCTCAATATGAAAACTCTGGAATTAGAGGGAAGGAGCAAGATTGACATGTATGCAAATTCCTGCTCTTACCTTCATAGCCACACAGATCTCATTTGAAGACTCATTAAAGGCCCCTTCAAATCTGGGGTGAAATGCTTTTCTGGTGCTGCCCACTTTTGACATAGGTCCTTGCCTAGCCTGAGTATTCACTGCTGGGCTTAAGTGTTGTAGCTCAAATGAAAGTAATGAGGACACTGTAGTCTGTATACGCCTTCAACTAGAACAGTATATGTTTTGCTTCGGAGCAAACAGGAGAGTGTGCCAAGCCATCTTGTCACACGCCTCTGGCTTAAAGAAGAAATCCTTGTAACAATCTAAGCTGATGCCTAATTACTTTTCTTTCTTTTTTTACCATTTGAAATATATCTACCATGAAAATATGCATAAAATGAATGATGCAGTGACTAACTGTAGGGCTAGATTACAGCACCTGTGTTTCATTCAATGGGATGAATAGGATGCATGTGTCAGAAAGGGGTGGTTTATTGATGAGTAATAATAATAAATTCACAAGACACAACGGAGCTGCACTGAGCATCACTTCCATAAATTGTGCCTGCTCTGGGATTGCTCATAGATGAAGAGCAGAATACACACACACACACACACACACTAAAGTTAGTTGTTCTTGAGCAGCTCAGTAGTAGAGCACAAGATTTGCACCTCTAAGTCCCTAAATCCAACACCAACATCTACAGCAATGGCTGCAATGTTTTATTAATATAGTATAAGGCTAGTGTTGAATATGATTTAGCACTGGGATAGGATTGGGTTCTTCAGTTTAGACATTACACTTTCCATGTTGATATTATCCAGAGTCTAAGACTGCAACCCTAACTCCACTTACTTGGGAGTAAGCCCAGTTGAATTCAATAGGCCTTACGTCTGAGTAGATATAGTTGGGATTGCAGTGGCTCAGTTTCTTAAGGGTTGGATCCCAAAAGTTTGCTTATGTGCCTTGCTTTTTAAATAAACAAATTTACCCAAAAAAGCAAAATAAGCATATCCTTTTCCAATATCTCCCAAACTATAGTTAGCATTTCTTCCATCTTACATTTTTATGTAGAAAAAAGAAATACAGTGGTACCTCGGGTTACATATGCGTCAGGTTACATACGCTTCAGGTTACATACGCTTCAGGTTACAGACTCCGTTAACCCAGAAATAGTACTTCAGGTTAAGAACTTTGCTTCAGGATGAGAACAGAAATCGGGCTCCAGCGGCGCGGCAGCAGCAGGAGGCCCCATTAGCTAAAGTGGTGCTTCAGGTTAAGAACAGTTTCAGGTTAAGAATGGACCTCTGGAACGAATTAAGTACTTAACCTGAGGTACCACTGTAAAAGGGTGGCATTCTGAATTCCTTGGGCTCATATCCTGGCAAGTACGTTTACGAGCTCAGGCACAATCCTATGCAGAGGTACTTATTTATTATAACTGGGTTAACTATTGCACTTGGTAGTAAACCCCAGTGAAATCAGTGGGGCTCAATTCTGTGTGTGTGTGTGGGGGGGACCACTGTGTCTACATTTGCTTAAGCGTACTTACATCTCAGAATCTGTTTTGATGCATGTTTTCCAATTGCACGGTTTACTGAGGCTGTTTTAAAAAAAAATAATCAGCATTTTTAAAAGTGCCTTGGTAAAATGACACACACACACACACACACACAGCTCTGAAGGTAGGAGAGATGCTATCCCCTTTGTCAAACCCCTTCCTCACCACGCTACCCCTCCAAGCGAGGCCCCTGGAGGAGCCAACCACAATTTTTGGGGACTATCGGTTTATTGTGTGGTAGTGCAATATAGTAGGCCCTTTCTTCGACCGACCCCCCCCCCCCGGGTCTCCTTTCAGCATTTCAGCAGAAGCAGCTCCGCCGCGAGGGGTGTGCGGGGCTGACCCTCGGCATCTTCACCCTGAGCAATGTGCAAAAGCATCCCTCGCGCTCTGCGAGCCTCGCGGCCTTTGACGGCGGCGAGGCAGGAGCAAGGCGAGCGCAGCCGGCTTCAGCTTCCAGCCGAGCCCGGCCTTCTCCCCGCCCGCTCCATGTTTCCCCCTCCCCGCCCTCCTCACAGCGCGAGAGGGAACAAAAAACAGGCCCTTCCCCGGCCGCTCCCGCTTAATCTCCCTCCACCCACCGGTTGCCCGGCCAACAAGCCAGACAAGCAGGTGATCCATTGACAGGGAGCAGATGGTCTCCCGCCGAGGTAAGCGAGGCCCAACAAAGAAACCATATTGATCATATTGCTCCTTTCCTATTCTTCGGATGCAGCGTCAGGGCTCGGGACGTTTTCTCACTCGAGCTCCCTCCTTCCCGCCGCGCCGCTGCCGGGCCTGCCTGCATCTCCCTCTCACACGCAGGGCGACGCTGCTCCGCCTCCCCCTTGGGCAGCGGAGAACCAAGCAAGGCCTTGAAGGGCTGCCTCAAGCGGAGCTGCAAATGGCGCGCTTCCTTCTTTCCCTCCTCTTTGCCTAGCGCGCCTACAGCCCAAGGCCGGCCAAGTATTTTAGGCTCCTGAGGCAAAGCGCCTCACAAAATACTTCTTCCCTCATCCTGACAGGGAAAAACGCCACAACGGTTCAATCGCAAGGTGCTGTCCTTTCCACAGCTGTCAACTTTCAGATTTGAAAATACAGTGGTACCTCGGGTTACATACGCTTCAGGTTACAGACTCGGCTAACCCAGAAATAGTGCTTCAGGTTAAGAACTTTGCTTCAGATGAGAACAGAAATTGTGCAGTGGCGGTGCAGCGATAGCAGGAGGCCCCATTAGCTAAAGTGGTGCTTCAGGTTAAGAACAGTTTCAGGTTAAGAATGGACCTCCGGAACGAATTAAGTACTTAACCCGAGGTACCACTGTAAGGGATCAGCAGCCTCACCTGTCCTGGGGACAGTCTACGAGATATCTAACAATGCGGGAAGCAGCGGGAAACGGCGCTGGAATAAGGGAATTTCCCGCAAAAAAAGGGAAGGTTGACAGCTATGGTCCTTTCATGGCACCCGAAAATCAACTGTTGACACACTATCAGGGCCAGATTTAGATTTGATGAGGCCCTAAGCTAATGAACGCGGGTGGCGCTGTGGGTAAAACCTCAGTGCCTAGGGCTTGCCGATCGCATGGTCGGCGGTTCGAATCTCCGCGACGGGGTGAGCTCCCGTCTTTCGGTCCCAGCTCCTGCCCACCTAGCAGTTCAAAAGCACCCCTAAGTGCAAGTAGATAAATAGGTACCGCTTTATAGCAGGAAGGTAAACAGCGTTTCCGTGTGCTGCTCTGGTGCTGGCTCGCGTTCATCACGCTGGCCACGTGACCCGGAAGTGTCTCCGGACAGCGCTGGCCCCCGGCCTCTTAAGTGAGATGGGCGCACAACCCTAGAGTCAGACACGACTGGCCCGTACGGGCAGGGGTACCTTTACCTTTACCTTTAAGCTACTGAAGGTAATGGGGCCCTTTATATGTCCAGCTGTCCTTTGTCAACAACAAATCGTCACTGGTTTTTGTGTTGAATATATGCTATATGGACCTAATAGGTATCTAAAGCCATTTGCACATGTTGCCATGCAACTAGTCCATGCAGAATGTAGGCACCCTATATATAGAAATGAGCAAACCAGTGATATTTTAGGGAGCAGGCTAGCAGGCGGGGCCCATTACTTACGTCATAGGAGCCTACACAACACAAAACACTGTTTCTGTATGTAGGTTTTATTTTATTTGTTTTTTATCTTTTATTTTGGAAATGTACATCCAGTTTTCCCCCCTCAAGAGAGTGGGGCCCTAAGCTATAGCTTTTTTAGCTTATACGTAAATCCGGCACTGCACACCATACATCTAAACTGTAGTTTGTTAATGGGGTGCTGGGGTGGTGGCTCTGAGAGGGGCAAACTACAGATCCCAAGATTCTTGGGGAGAAGGGCGAAAGTCGTGTGCTTTGGGTGTGCGGTGTATATGCAGCCTCAGTTTCTGCCTAATGGCAGGGCCGGCTGCTTCACAGTTTAATGGATATATTCCTCGCTTCCCTCAGCCTAAGGAAATCTTGAAGCGATGGATCAGGGCAACTTCTGTTCCGTTAAGGATTTGATGCCCTTGAGGTAAGGAGAAGAAAGTCATATGCTTGGAGGCACCCTTCCATTCCATCACATAAAACCACACTTGTGAAAAAGTGGGAGGGGAGGCCGTCATACATTTTGCTGCTTGAGATAGAGTAACAAATAGAAAACCTCACCCCTGTCATGGGTGTAGCCAAATGGGGGGGGGACAAGGGGGGCAGCTGCTCCCCCTAAATCAATACAAATCTGAGGTTCTGCCCCCCTAACAAAAATCCTGGCTATTCCCATGACCCCTGTTGAGGTACATGGTACCCAGGACTGGCCAAATTATTTTGGCAGCTGTGCTTACTGACACTGTAATACATCAAATAGCTAACCATTTGCTGCCCTTTCATGACACCCCAAGTTAGCTTCCTAAGGTGTCTGTCGAATTCTGGCATGGTTCATAAAAGCCGAGCCAAAATATGGCTAAGTATGAAAGGTATAACTGGAGAGGAGATCATGGCCACTTTGTCCTCCCTCCTCTGCTTCTGCAAACTAAGGCATAGTTTGGCTTCACATGCCATCTAAAAACAGTCTCATACTTTATTTCCCCATGGCAAACTTTGGCTAAACCTTGTGCTTTGTTGGATGACACACTGAGGACTCATCTTTGTCCCACCACTTTCCCCCATGGTTTAGTGCTGAAGTGGAACAAACAGCAACCACATTTTCTGTGGATTGCCGTTTGTTCCAATTTAGTGCTAAAGAGCATGTTTTCCAGGGGAAAATGGCGGAGTAAAGGCAAAACTGCTCAGACACATGCCTAGAAAGATTGGGACAAACAGAAAATCACTCAGATCCATGCTTTCTAGGCACAGGACAATCAGAAGTGTGCATAAGCCCCAAGTCCCCCAGCTTTTTTTTTTTTTGCCATAGACTGCTTGAAAATTGCTGAGGGCTTTGGCTCTTAATGATTTTTCTGCCTGTTGTACCAGCTATAATGTGCTGCGAAAGGTGCTATACAATTTTAAATTGTATTTTTACAGACAGGCCATGGACCACCTGAATGAAACACTCTTAGACCACAGTTCGGGTCTTCTAATCTTTAAGCGCTAAGCTCATAGCAGCATAGCAGTAAGAGGACTAGGAGGGGAGCAAAGCAGCCATATTTCTCTAGGAACCCAAATGCTTTTTTGTTTCTGACGAACTGTTGTTTGGCTTAACAGCACATATGATTCAGGTCTGTGTCTAATAATAGGGCTGACCCAGCTTTTTCCTCATCTGGTGTTTTCTTTCATCCCATATTACTCTTTAATGCTGCTGCTTTGGCGTTCTATAAACCCTCTTTCTCATGACTGGCTCAAGACATTTTAGCACCATGAGTGACATCATGGCAAAATTTGAGTGCGGTGTCCCAGGATCCTTTACAGTGTATCATAGGGATACAGGCTTCATAGGGACACAAGATCAGCAGCAAAACTGGCATAACTCTGTGTATTTTATTTATTATGGGAATTCATATTTTACTGTTCAGACAAATATTCAAGGCAACTTCCTGTGTAGACCTTCCTGAGTTATTCCAGGTACTGTAGTTTGAGTCCAATGGAAGATTGTGTGCCTGCGTGTTGACAAATTGCAAGTCTTCAGACTGTTGCAAATTGCAGCCTGGGGTGGGGGCATGATGGAAGGAGGGATTTTCCTTTTCCTCTGTTGCATTTTCTTGCTATTTGCCCTGTTATACTTATTGAGTTTTCATAACACTAGATTGTGTGTATGTTTGGGATTTTCATTGAGAAAATGGCACAGGGGAATGTGCACCATAGTCCCAATCCAAATGGGAACCCCACATTGCTTCAGTTTGCAAAAGGCTAAAGAGTGAGATGCATTCACACACATCTGTCTCATCTATTTTGGCCCTCAGACCCAATCCATTGAACCAAATATTTCTTTGTTAAAACATGCCCTCCTTGAGACAGAAGAAAGGAAAGGAAAATGGCCCTATAGATTATCTCCCTGCCCCCAATCACTTTATTCAAGTGGATGCTTATGAGGGATATTTGGAGGCTCTCCGACTGTACAGTCTTTCCCTCCTTCTCAACCATTTATCAGGACCGACTCAGTATTCACTGCTGTGTAGCAAATTGTGATGATACCAACAAGGAAAGCTTGAAAAATGGTTAGCTCTTGTTCACAATTTTGCGTCCTACTTTCATAGCTGTCACATAAATTCACCGCAAGCTTTGCGCTAAGACAAGAGAGAATAATTTTTTAAAAAAGAAATAGTCTGAAAACAACAGTGACAAAACCCAAGGGCACAGTTTGCTACGGTGTCTGCACTTGTTTGCAGGTGGTTCTGGAAACCATAACTACAGTAGCTGCTTCTAGTGTTTTCACAAGTAGTTGCTTTATAGCTTTTAAGATAAATTTACTCTCCCTTCCCCCAGTCCATTTTACAGTAAATAAAAATGCCCCAAAGGCCTTTTATTTCCCTAAAAGGGTGAAATGTGTGTGTGCGTGCGCACCCCCTCCCCATACACACATGCAAGAAAGAAATGAAAAGAAACAGGTTCTGTGAATAAAGGCCAGACAATGCAGGGTCACAAAGCTGTCTCAACTAATGTCATAGTGGAGCTGCTGGGCCAGCTTACAGAGGACTGCTTGTTCCTTGATGTTTATGGTGATCGGTATAACGCATGTAACACTTTGCGAGTAGTTTTAGGACAAGTGGAAAAGAAAAGGTCTTTCACAATAACCTCTTTTCTGATGCATTTGGAGCATTATGTGCTCCCAAACACCTGTGGTTGACAAAGAAGGAGCTGGGCGAGACAAACATAAATAAATAAATAGAGGGAACAAGAGATTGTTTCGGTGTATGCAGCCCCTCTCTTCTGAGCACAACAGAGCTTTTAGCTTTAAAATGCTCCTTAAGTTAGTCTTTTATGAACTTCAGTAATGGACAGCAGCACAAGAAGCAGAGGGTAATTTAAAGTGATGGCAAAAGTTTTGTTCTGCAAAGGTATTTCAGAAGATAGGGTGCTTTCATGCCATTTGAAAACATTTTCTCTGTGTTGTGCTTTGTTTTATTATTTACAACCAGGCCTAGCCACAAGTGCCTAGCAGTCTTTGTAGACTGAAGACTTTTGCAGCATAAACCACAAACACTAGACTATTCCATGGA